ATGAGCGGTCCAAGAACTGAGCCCTGAGGAACCCCAGTGACCAGTTGATGTGCTTTGGATACCTCCCCTCCCCAGGACACCCTGAAAGACCTACCAGTGAGACTGAAGTGGAATCCCTGTGATACCCAGCGATGAGAGGGCGGACAGGAGGATCTGATGATTGACAGTGTCAAAAGCAGCAGATAGATCCAGCAGAATAAGAACTGATGATTTGGAATCAGCTTTTGCAATCCGCAAGGCTTCCATGACTGACAGTAGCGCAGTCTCAGTTGAATGGCCACTCCTGAAACCTGACTGGTTAGCGTTCAGTTTGTTGTTCTGTGAAAGAAACAATGACACCTGGTTGAAAACAACTCGTTTGAGGGTTTTCGCTATGAATGGAAGGAGAGAGACCGGTCACCATTATTTATATAGCGCTTTTTACAATGCAATTTGTGTCGAAGCAGCTTTACAGTATTAAATGGGGTTCCGGTTGACCTAATTAATGCAGCCTAACAATACTTTAACGGATTTGAAAATTAGAAACGTATTAGTGTGTTATGTGTAAGCCAGGTTAAAGAGATGGGTCTTTAATCTAGATTTAAACTGACAGACTGTGTCTGCCTCCCGAACAATGTTTGGTAGATTGTCCCCGAGTTTGGGCACTAAATAGGAAAAGGTTCTGCTGCCCACAGTTGATTTTTATATTCTAGGTATTATCAAATGGCCAGAGTTTTGAGAACACAGCGGATGTGAAGGACTATAATGCAATAAGAGCTCACTCAAGTACTGAGGAGCTAAACCATTCAGGGCTTTATAAGTAATTCACAAGATGTTAAAATATATACAATGTTTACTGGGGAGCCAGTGCAGTGTTGACAGAACCAGGCTAATATGGTCGTACATCCTGGTTCTAGTAAGTACTCGTATCTGCTGCATTTTGAACCAGCTGGAGTTTGTTTATTAATCGTGCAGAGCAACCACCCAATAAACCATTGCAATAATCTAAACTTGAGGTCATGAACGCATGAATTAACGTTTCTGCATTTGACATTGAGAGCATAGATCATAATTTCGATATAGTTTTGGGATGGAAAAATTAGGTTTTACAAATGCTATAAACATGTTTTTCAAAGGAAAGATTGCTATCAAATAGCACGCCTAGGTTCCTAACTGATGACGAAGAATTTACAGAGCAGCCACCAAGTGTTAGACAGCGTTTTAGGTTGTTACATGCAGAGGATTTTGGTCCATTAAATAAAACCTCTGTTTTTGTTTTTGTTTTTAATTTAGCAGTAGGAAATTGAGTAATCCAGTTTATTTCGACTGTTCATTCCGTTAGTTTTTCAAATTGGTATGTTTCGCCGGGCTGCGAAGAAATATAAAGCCGAGTATCTTCAGCATAACCGTGAAAGCTAACACCGTGTTTCCTGATGATATCTCCCAAGGGTAACATGTAAAGTGTGAAAAGCAA